TACAGTGTTGAACAGTAGTCTTTCTCTCTCTCTCTCTCTCTCTCTTTGGAGAATTAAACTGATTTCAGCAGAAAACAGATCTCAACGGACTATCACCTATGGGGTCTGGGCAGGCAAAGGCCTCCTAATTGGTCTCTCTACTCACTCCCCTATCACCTTGTGCGCCAACAGTCCAGTCGCACTCAGCACAGTAACCTGAAGGATCTCCATTTAAAATGCAAATAAGATTGTCTTCAGACTCCTCAACACACTCAGAAGAAAATTCCACTCTTTTCTAAGACTTATAAAATCCTGACTATGTTTTCTTGTTCTTTTCCTCCTACTCTCCTGCTCATTTACCAAGCTCCACCCTAAGACTTTACTGCTGCTCTTTGAACTCATCCCGCCTCAGGCCCTTTGCACTTACTTTTTCCTCTGCCTGGAAAGTTTATTCACCAGACCTTTACTTAGCTGACTCCTTTACTCGTATTTTTGCTCAAATGGCACATCCTCAGGGAGTCTTTCCATTATTCCATTTTGTTGTTTGCAGCTCACATCTCCATGTTGTTCCTTTTTTATTATGTAAATCCCCCACTAAAACATGATGAGAGAAGAGGTATTATTTATCCTGTTCACCAGTTGCTAGAAAAGAACCTGACTTATTGAAAGGAACCCAAATATTTGTTGGATAAAAAAATAAATTAATGAAAGATAAGTTGTATATTTTTTTATTATCTGACCATCAAAGAGATGAACCTCTTATTTTCGAGAAACCTTTTTTAACAGAAATTTATTTCACAAGTCCTTATATAAAAGATACGCAGCTATGGTGGCATAGAGTTTAAAGCATTAGGCTGCCAATCGAAAGGTTGGTGATTGGAACCCACCAGCTGCTCTGTGGGAGAAAGATGAGACAGCCTGCTTCCATAAAGATTTACAGACTTGGAAACCCTGTGGGGTAGTTGTACTAAAGGGTAGCTAAGAGTAAGAATCAACTCCACGGCAGTGGGTTTTTTTTTTTTGTTGTTGTTATATAAATGATATATACTAAAACAGATAGTTTGATAAATATATTTCAAAGATTATTAACAAGCTCTGGTGGTGTAGTGCCTAAGGCATTTGACTTAACTGGAAGGCTAGCAGTTCAAACTCACCAGCCACTCCTTGGAAGGAAGATTGGGCAATCTACTTCCGTAGCGATACCACCTTGGAAACCCAAGGAGGGATCTTTATGAGTCACAATCGACTCGACGGCAGTGAGTTTGGTTTCTTTTTTTCTTTTATATACTGTTTTTATTTACTATGAGGAGAAGCTTTGAGAATAGTCTCTAGCTTATGGCATGCTTGGACCCTGCATGTAGCCGTGTCATTGCTCAGCAGCCTGCTATGCTCTGCCAACTTTGGAACTTAAGTTACAATGGACTTAAGTCATGTGGATTGGTAACATCAGGACTGTGCCTTTTACTTGTCAACCTTGGGACTTGTCAGCCTCAGCATCCTACTAGTAGCTGTCTGAGTGAAGAAACACCTCTAGCTCCAGTGGGCTGGGAGCAGGAGGCAGAGCTGGACCCTATGGTTGAGGGGCTATCACCCAGTTCCTAGAGCCTGGCACTTTGCACTTGGACTTAAAGCTTCCAAATTGTGAGAATAAACTCCTGTTTGTTTAAGCCATCCCATCTGTGGTATATTCTTGTCAGAGTGGTACTAGGTAACCAGAACACATATTTATAATTATAAACTTATAACATGCACTTACACATTTACTATAATATGTATACATTCATTATAATTTTTGCCTTCTAATGTATATATGCAAGAAGCTCTGGTGGCGCAGTACCTAAAGTATTTGGCTGCTAATCAAAAGGTTAGCAGTTCAAATCTACCAGCCGCTCCACAGCAGGAAGAAGGGACAATCTACTTCTATAAAGATTTACCTGCCTTGGAAACCCAGTGAGGGTCTCTGAGTCAGAATTAACCCAAAGCCAGTGGGCTTTGGGTTTTTTAATATATATATTTAGCATTTCTTGAAATGTGGAATTAATAAGAAATGTACCCTTAAATCTTGATGCTGTAAACAATCTTTTAACTGGCCAAGACTTTAAAGTTTATTTATCAATGATCAAATATTTGTTAAGCATGGAATATATGAAAAGCATCTGCTGCTGAGCTTATCTTATGAATGAGCTAATGTTGCCTTTGCCCTTATCTTTGTTCCCTGGCATCCTTCCTCTTCCTTGCTGACGATAGAACCTATTTTCTTCCCACAAAGACCACCTTCAGTGCCCCTCTCCCATGACATCTGCAATCCCATATCTTTAGGACACTAGTGGCTTCGCACACCTGCTGAATGCCTGCTCTGTGGTGCTTATTGTCGGGTGCCTGCAAGTTGATTTCAACTCATTGACTCCATGTGTTATAGAATAGAACTGTCCCATAGGGTTTTCTAGGCTATAATCTGTATAGGAGCAGATTACTAGGCCTTTCTCTGCCGAATCAAGTGCTTAACTATTGTGCCACCAGGGCTCCTTGCCTGACCTGTTAGTTCTTCTTTTTGTGTATGTGTGCATGGCTCTTCAAACTGTCTGCTACTTGATGGACTACTTTGTTCTGAATGAACAAAGTAGAGTAGGCTATGGGCCCAACTTATCAGGCATGCACAGGTTACCAAGTGAGAAAATACACTTGCAAGAGGAAAGTTCTAATGATAACTGAAATAAATTTCCTCACATCTACTCCCTTTCCTAAGGCCTCTATTTTGTTGTCATTTATCCATCCTGTGACTAAGAAATGAATAAGAGATATAAGAGAAAGAACTGTTTTGGAGCAGAACATAATGAATTCATTTGAGGTTTGGTTTGAGGTTTTGTGGAACAGGCTAGGCTGCGTCATCTTTGCTCCCCTCCATTGACACTGACTCAATCAATTGCTGACTCCTGAAGACCCTTCCTCCATGAGGTCTTTCAAATCTATCGCCTTTCAGTGCAGGCACTTATTTAAGTGACTACAGCAGCCTCTGAACCAGCTCTAGTTCCATCACTTTCTCCTTCCCAATCTTTTCTCCTTAAACCCCAGTTCCAAGTTTTCAGTTCTTCAACAGCTATTTCAGTGCCTACTCTGTGCTACCATGGTTTTTGGCCTTGCAAAGGTTTCAGTGATGATATTATCCTACTCCTCAAAGGAGGCTTCCCTTGGCTGTGGATTTATAAACACTCTGTGCCCCAGCCTGGAGTTCAAGGCCCTCTGAGACTTTCCAGGTCTAACTTCTGCCACAGGTCCATATACAGCTTCTACTTCAGGAAGCCTGTGCCTTCATAACCCTTGTCTTTGCTCATAAATCTCCCTAAGTCTGGAATGTCCTCTGCTCTCCTGCCTCGCTCTCCCATAGCACCTGCCAAAATTCTAATCTGTCCTTCATGACTTAGTTCAAATCCCAACTCTATCATAAGCCCTTCATGATGCACTGCACAAGATGTGTGCTCTCCTTCTCTGGTTTCCCATGAGACATTTTTAGACCTCTGATACCCATCATGTTATACTTTCTATCAAGTTAAATGTACATCTGATCTATCCTATTAACCTATCCTAGAGAAGGATCCATGTCTTAAACATCTTTGTAGGCTTCTCACCTCTCCACCTCATAGCTACCTTACACATGGAGTATCTTACACAAATTATGGCTATATAGTTTATTTTCCAAACCAGAATATTTTTGAGACTGAAAAGGGCACTATTAATAATTACACTGGGTTACAAGTACAACTCAAATCGTCCTTGGCTACTTGGACATATGGTCACCTTATTTATGTAAAATGAAGGCTCAATGAATAGTTTATGAATTTAGGTGAAATGCTAATTGTGTAGATAGATAGTGTGGAATGTGATAGAGTGGAGGCAGGAGTCCATATTGGAGCTGGCATTGTTAGGGATGGTTCCACTGAGCAGATGGTCCTTAGGGGTATGTCCAGAGAGAATGAATGGGATTCATTAGACAGAGAGAAGAAGGAATGACATTTTGAGAGAATAAAATGATAGGAATAAAGGCAGAAACACATTTGATATATTCAGAGAAAAGTAAGTATGGCTGAAATTAGTGGTTTACATTGGAGAGAAACAGGCCACATGGTTGGAAAGTGGGGTAGGAAGGAACTAGGGCTCTAATACCTTTGTAAGGGGGGCAGTATTTCTGAGCAAGAAAGAGACAAAGCAAATGTAGAATTGCAGGGAAATTAGTCTGGTGCCCATGTATAGGGTGGATTGGAATGGAGAAAGGCTGAGGAGAGGGAGGCCTTTGGGTGACTCTTTGTACAGATTCTATCTATTGATATCATAACTTGATAGCAGGAAGTCAACAGGAAGACGCAATTTCCAAGATGTTGAGTGTGAGGTACTAGTGGGTCATCTAAATGGATATACCCAGTAGATAGGAGAGCCTATGTGGTAGGTGGGATAAGGACCAGTAATAATTATTTAGGAGTCATCCAGAGGAGGTGAGAGGTGAAAGATAAGAAAGGATGAGGTGTCTTAGATACAAATGGTATGAAGAGTGCTGTTGAAGATCAAGGGCTGAATCTTGGGAAATTCTTGCACATAACAGAGAGGGGAGAGAAAAGGGATCAGAGAAGGAGTCACCATGGGGAAGAAACTAAGTAATAAAGAGTCCCAAGGACTAAAGAAAAGTTCAAGAAGGAGGTGGTCAATTGTGTCAAGTTTTGCAGAAAAGCTGAGAAAAACTGCAGAAAAAAGTCGAGAAAACTCACTCAATGGAAAATGGCTTTGGTCATTAGGATAATGATCTAAACTGTCTAAAGAAATGAACCAGAAATGGATTTATTTGGTCAATGATGTTGACAAAGGTTGAGTTACCACACAAGATTAATACAAAGATGTGTTAATGTATCCATCCTTAAGACATACTTACTGGCAGAGCAGTCAAAAAGTCAGTTAGATACAACTAAAATCTGAATGGTTCTAATATTAACCAGGCTTGTGACCTGTGACCAAAATACCCCAATGATACTAACCTGTTTTATCTCTTTTCACCGAGAAGGTAGTGATATTGTGCATAGAAGAAAGAACTTTTCTTGATACAGATTCCATCATAATGATACCTGGAAAAAAAAAAAGTTGTTTGTCTCACAAATAATGTCAAACTACCCCCATGCTTTTTATTTATGGATGACACAGAGCAGGCTAGTAAATTGGATTCTCTGGGCTTCATCACTGATCCCATTTATTATCAAAAGTTAATCAGTCATTCAGCCTGTTCAAGCTCTATTATGTAGACAAACAACTTCATACTATTTCATACATGTCATTGTTAGCTGCTGTTGAATCTTCCTCTGACTCATGGTGATCCCATGCACAATGGAACAAACTGCCTCCTGGTCTTGTGTCATCCCTATGATCGACTGCAGATTGGAACTTTGTGATCCATAGGGTTTTTCATTGGCTGACTTTTGGAAGTAGATTACCAGGCCTTTCTTCCTAGTCCTTCTTAGTCTGGAAGCTCTGCTGAAACTTTTCAGCATAATAGCAATATGCAAGCCTTCAATGACAGCAGCAGAACATAAAGTGCATCAGCCAGGAGTAGAACCTGGGTCTCCTGAATGTAGACTGCAAACTCTACCACTGAACCATGAATGCTTCCATTTAATACATATACCAAACTCCAAACTCACTGCCGTCAAGTCGATCTCGACTCATAGTGACCCCTCCTTGGGTTTCCAAGGCAATATCACTCTGGAAGTAGATTGCCCAATCTTGCTTCCGAGGAGCGGCTGGTGGGTTTGAACCACCTGCCTTCTGGTTAGCAGTCAAATGCCTTATGCACTAAATCACCAGAGCTCCCATTTAATACAGACTAGCCTTGAAATGGGCTTGAGAATACCTATTCTAAAGGAACCCTGGTGACAAGATAGTTAAGAGCATTGGCTGCTGAACAAAAGGTTGGAGGTTTGAAATCACCCAACAGCTCTGCTCCCACAAAGATTATAGCCTAAAAGACCCTATGGGGCAGCTCTACTCTGTCACATGCAATTGCTGTGAGTTGAAAATTGACTCGAGGGCACCTAATAACAACAATCTTACAGAAAGGAACCCTAGTGAATGCAGGATTTATTGAACAATATCATTAATATCATATGCAAGTAAAATTATGCTGAAAATAATTCAAAAATGATATCAGGAGCACATCAACAAGGCCCAGTCAGAAATTCAAGTCAGATTCAGAAGAGGATGTGAAACAAGGGATATCATTGCTGAAGTCAGATGATTTTGGCTGAAAGCAGAGAATACCAGAAATAGTTTTACCTGTGTTTTATTGACTATGCAAAGCCATTTGACTGTGTGGAGCATAAAAAATTATGGATAACATTTGAAAGAATGGGAATTCTGGGACACTTAATTGTGCTCATGAGGAATATCTACAAAGAGGCAGTCTTTGGAACCGAACAAAGGGATACTGTATGCTTTAAAATCAGGAAAAGTGTGTGTCAAGGTCGTATCTTTTTACCATACTAATTAAATCTGTATGCTGAGCAAATTATCCAAGAAGCTGGCCCATATTGAAGAATAATGTGGCATCAGGATTGGAGAAAGACTCATTAACAACTTGCAATATGCAGATGACACAATGTTGCTTGCTGAAAGTGAAGAAAACTTGAAGCACTTACTGATGAAGATCAAAGACTACAGCCTTCAGTATGGATTATACCTCAACATAAAGAAAATAAAAATCATCACAACTGGACCAACAAGCAACATCAAAATAAACAGAGAAAAGATTGAAGTAGTCAAGGATTTAAATTCACTCGAATCAACAATCAGTACCCATGGAAGCAGCAGTCAAAAAATCAATCAAAGTATTGC